ATTCTTTTACACCCCATTGACCTTTGACCTGTGACCTCCAATTTCGGCACAGTGATGGCTTTCCCTACCATGATGCTATACACCGACTATCACGAGCCTAGTCGAGCCGTGTTAGATTTTTAAGTTAAGGAGGAAATGTTCCCCCTTCTTTTACACCTCTTGACCTTTGACCTTTGACCCCCAGCTCAACATCCCAACTCGTTTTCGAATTACCCCCCCCCACGTCCTGACTTTCGAATCCGTACGTCGAGCCGTTTAGATTTGTGCCCAACTGTTGACGAATGCACGCACGCACGGACAATCATGCGATTCTACAAGCTGCATCTGACTACGTCAGATGAGCTAAAAAAATGAAGAGAGACAAATAAGCACCAGCAACCAGTAATGCACATTGGAACCATTAGCTCAATACTTGGATTGACGCTATTCTCTGTGGAAACCATGCATACTATAAACAGAGAAGAAGAAAGATCTATATGTTACAGACTACATCGAGTACAACAATACCCCATGTTATGATAATTCAAGTTATGTAAATTCATCCATACGTAATATTATGATGACATAATTTTTCAAAGGAACGAATGGGGTTTTCTACCCAAAAACTCTCTTTCCTGCATTACATCATTAAATAATTATCATATATAATATATGTTTGACAATATTTATTTGCACTCATAATTATGTACTTGCTTGTATTAGGGAGACTGGGGAGTTATACTTATTCCTTTAACCAGAAAACCTTTCGTAGAAACATATATCCCCAATTATATTATAGAAATCAATAACAAAACGTGACTCACGTACCTTCGGGTTACAAACGTTTTTCTAGAAATTAGAATGCATTACTTTCCCAAGGCAGGGTATACTATATGACTGTAATAGACTATACTTTTTTCTGTCGGCAAAGGAGCTTATTGTCTTTGCAGCACGTTGGCACAGCCTTTCTGGCAGATGTTTCTTCCTCCGGTATATGCGTACGTATACCATAAAAATAACCTTACCACGGGTCTTCTAGTTTTAGTACTAAACACATTTATTATCACACCAGTATCGTGGTTCCAGTAATTAAGCCATATGAGGAAGGAATTAGAGTTTCATTACTGCATCTCAGCACAGAGGGCTATAGATAATAGATATGCAATGCAATATTACTACGCGGTTTAACATTCATTCAAGTAAACATTCACTCTTTATTACCTAGATCTTCCGAGTAATTTGCTGAATAATTCAAGCTTTATAGCTATCCTATCAAAATGGTATCCATTTGGCTATCCTATAAAAATGGGAGATTACTGCTAGGAAAAAGTCCAACTGGGCCTAGCTAGCAGTGGAATATTAGATCCATATTCTGACATAATAAAGGCCTGACCCCTACTCTACATAAAACTTGTGAAATATGGTATCAAATAACCCCATAATTCTTAATACTGACAGCATAGGGGCAAAACCACTCAGAATTGCACCGTCTTTGCTTATATGTATGCTATCTAGGCACTAGCTATTCCAGTCTATCTAAATTTATCTGAGCTAAAACCAAATGCAAATAATTGTATAACATCAAGTGGGCAGGGCAGATATACCACTGACAGATGCATAAATTAATTAAATATGATGCTATAGAATTGCAACCAGATCTAGGTCTCACAACAAGCTCTTCTTTACTGTATATATAATAATATAGTGACCTTTAGCCAGCCTATAAAATTTTAGTACACGTATATAATGTACGTCAGCTTGTTGCTAGCTGCATGCAGAGTTCTTCATTCTAATCATGTTACCTTACTAGCAACTATCTCGAAACTATCACTGCTGCGAATTAAAATGCACACATGCACACAAAAAAGTGAATTAGCAATATCCAAGGAAGATACTAGATTACAGTAAAAAAAATACACGGGGGCTCGGGGCGATTTAGCCCCCGAAATGCCAAAAAGAGCCCCCGTAAATTTGCATAGAGTTCAATGCAAACCAAATTTTAGAGTGCTATTTTCATCCACGCGAGCTTGAAAAGTAGCATCCGAAAAATAAATAATATTTCCCTGCGAGATTAATACTTGATGTGAATAAATTACGTGATGTAGAATTTTCATGTTTCATGCAATATTGTTAGATAATGTATCCTTGTGTTTCCAATACAGAGGTACATACTATCAGAAGTAGATAATAGCGAACCTTCTATTATAGAGAATATAGAGGTAGCAAAATATTTATTTAACAAGAGCCGCAGAGCGTCTGGGCTCATCTGAGGTCTGTTGCTACGATTATAAACGTAAAATTTCAGTCGTGCGTAGTACCACATTTGTTAGGCGCAGATATGCAGACACGCAGTTGCGCACCCATCATTGTTAGCCCCCTCCCACTATCGCAGATGGAGGGTAGGGGGAGTGTGGGGGGAGGGGGTGGGGAAGGGCGGCGGGGGAGTGGGGGGAATGAGGGAGGGTGGGCAGGGAGGGTCGTCTAATACAAAAAGCAGTTCACTACCTTTGTCTAACATCAACAAATCCAATGTCTTAAACCCTCCGGCTTGAGGTTCAAAAGTTTATCAAGACAACTACTCTTCGGCACGTCAGTGAAAGCACATTTCAATCGGGTCGCTTTCATAAAGCCAATACTAAAAATAGTACGGTCACCACAGCTGATAACAGAAAAGTTTTTTCAATCGCCGTGTCACACCAATGTCCTCGAAGAAAAGTCTAAAATCTGCCCGCTGTCCACCCATTGACCTGTTGACCTGTGACCTCCCAATTTTCGGCACAGTGATGGCTTTCCCTACCATGCATGCTATACAGCCGACATATCACGAGCCTAGTCGAGCCGTGTTAGAGTTTGTTGCGCGCAATTAACCTGCATTTCCTCGCTATATCTTAAGTAAGGAGGTGAAGTGTTCCCCATCTTTTAGCACCTGAACCTTTGACCTTTGACCCCCCAGCTTCGACATCCGCAACTCGTTTTCGATTACCCTCCACGTCCCGATAATCGTGACCGTTACGTCGATCCGTTTAGATTTTGTGGGTGCCCACTGTTGACGGACGGACGCACGGACGCACGGACGGACGGACGGACGCACGGACGGACGATCATGCGATTCTACAAGCTGCATCGGACTATGTCAGATGAGCTAAAAATAGAGGTATAGAAATATAGATATAACAATAGAGAGGTACGTTAATACAATACACAGGACAGACGTTTCTGGCAGTCGCTCGCTGAACATTGCATTCGAGATTAGAACACACTGGGTGCAGAAGGTACCTGGCTGACTATCATTTGACTACCATTTCCATACGTATATATGGCCTAGCAGAAATGAGATCACTTGCACACACAACCGGGGCAATAAACTCGAGCATAATACCACACTTGAGTGCATTACCACATATTTTCCATGCATACGTACAGGGGACACGTTGGCCTGCTGAATTCTTAATGGCAGACTCGTTAGGCCAAAACAAAATATAGGTGTGGTTACCGTTTCATGCCGAAAAAAAAATAGGGTAGGTAGGTAGGGAAAACATTTTATTTTATTTACGAACCATGTCCGAAGGATGTGCGTTGTGCCTTTTGAAGCAGGAACTGTCCAATTCATATTTATTTATTTTTTTATTTTTTTTTACTTTAAAGAAAATTGACAATAAAATGTTTAGGGTCGCTGGGAATAAATAGGGTCGGTCGGGAAACGGTAACCACACCTATATTTTGTTTTGGCCTTACAGTTAGCTATAACATGCAGAATATGCAGGTAAGATGAAAGAAGTGCTGCTTTCTAATGGTAATTAATATCTAGTTACCTTTTCTGCTGTGATGAACATATTCCAAGGCATCAGCACTCCAATTCCATGAATCAACATGATGATATACACGAAATTAAACCTACATAGAAACAAGTATATATATATATATATATACATACGTACATTGGTATACACATTACTGGTACAGCACGTATTCATTATTACCAAGTAGCTTGACATTACCAAATACATATATATGAACGTGACACTCATGCACACATACAGAAAACAACTTAAACGTTTGCTCCCATTTCCTACCACCAACAATTTCATATTCGAACATTTCAAGCTGTCATCATGAATATTTCTAACTTCTAACCCTATTTTGGAATACACCTATATTTTAGGATAATATGTCTCCACATGTCGGTGTTTACGGTTCCGTAAGACCATTTCATGTTCATCCAACCAACCTGTCTTTTGGCTCTGACGTCACAACGACTGTCTTGAAATTGAGCTCATCTTCTGGTTTATTTTGCTCTTCCCAGCTGGGGCTAAGAGTTACTGGCTTCATAAGCAAACTCTCGTTCTCCCGCCCGTTCATTCCCCGATCTGTAATTAACAATATCAATCCATTTACAATGACAGATGCAATTTAGCATAGAATTTAATTACTCAAATTTTACATCGGTTAAACAGCGTGGGTAACTTTCTATCGGGTAAGAGCAATGGATTATATGTTTTGTAGATGTATCTATTTTTAATGTCAAAAGCATGCAGCAAAAAGGTTCAGCATAGAAGTCCTATAATTAGCCTTTGACCTATAGATACAGTTTATTAGTACCTTTTTCCATTCTGTCTTGAAATGACTCGCCTATATAATTATATTTACCTCCGCCCAATGGAGTTGGAGGAGGTTATGTTTTCGCTCTCGTGTGTTCGTGTGTTCGTGTGTTAGTGTGTTAGTGTGTTAGTGTGTTCGCGCGATCGATATTAGCGCGTCAGCCAGCGAGCCAGCGAGCCAGCCAGCGCAGCAAGCCAGCGAGCGTGTACATCAGAGCGAGCAGCGACAACGAGCGGCTGCTACGAGCAAGCGAGCAGCAAGCCAGCAAGCCAGCGTGTACATGTCAGTACGCTGGCAGATATCGTGGGTTATTCGTGTGTTCGTGAGTCGTATGGCGTATGGCGTATGTCGCTGGCAGAGGTATGCACTCTCCGTGAGTGCACTCTGTCTAGTTATGTTCTTGTTTTGTTAAGTTTTGTGATTCTGATTTCCTGCACAAGGACATGATACAGTGCCAGCATGGGTAGTTGTGTACATACAGCATTTCACCTACATATATATATAAGTTAATGCCAAATGTCAGTGTCTAGAAGTATACCAGGCTATGACCACATATATTGAATGACGATTGTGTAGCTGTACGATGTTAGCTATTCCTGCAAGGCAAGGAACTGCTGTAAAATGGTAGTAAATCGTATCATATCACGAGTAACACAATAGACATTATTGCCAGTCTATTATGTTACTCTTGATAATATATCATATTTATATTGTATATAATAAATGATATATATTATATATATATATATAGGTTACACGATGTGTACATGCGCACATCAGCAATAATTTTGAGGCGTTTCAGCCAATACACCTAGAAGAACCAGTTCTATTTATGCACACGTACGCTGGCCTGTGCTGAACTGATCTCAAACCCTGAACCTTCCTGTAGTCTCTTCTGGATCTACTACTAATTACTAACAGGAATGCTACTTGCGTAATCCCCCTAGTGTGCCGCAGAGGCGTAGCAGGCCGCTATGTCTAACAAACATACAAGAGAACCGCTAAGCAGGTGGATCACAAAAGTGACCCCCAGCCTGTGCAGCGCACAGAAATCAAGCGCCTAATTAGAGCAAAGTACATAACTAACAATTCACGTAGCCTATTGAAATTCATTTCGTGTCACTTCATAATCATATGCTAATAAACGTGTATAATGGTAATTTAAATTTAGCAACTGTGATTCAATCGCAAAGAAAGAAGGGTTACATTTTGCAAGGGTTACATTCATTTTGCATTTTCCACGCGATGGGAATACCCAACTACGCGTGCAGGTGTACCCATGCACGTGTGCGGGTCCCTACTTAAGAAATTAGGCAATAAATGATAACAATCATCACTGATATATTTTTTATGACAACTTTGGTTCTTTCGATAAGTGACACAATTCATATCAAACCACCCAACTCCACTTCTGCAACGATGTTTTAGACACGCTTACAGTTACAGCATGGCAAAATGGCACAAATATAGGAGAAAGCACATTACCATGAATTGCATGAAGAAATTCCAAGGTTCTAAAGTGAACATCAGTTCACCAGTGATAATTACATCGTTTACTTATCATAACAAAATCAATCTTACGCACATATCTAGTGGATCACCGATACAGACATGAAAACCGGTGATCAAGCGCGTATGAATGCATGACAGACAGCAACAGGACCTTGATTACTACAACCCACAGGCACTTGGAACGTCTCAATTAAAAATAATAATGGTAAATAAATACGAAATGTATTTACTACCAAAGTCTTAATGTTTCTCTACTCTATTTCGCCTATTATTGCCGATAATTACTTGTAAATGCCGGCCAAATGCTCATCTACAACACACAAGTACACCGCACGCACGCCCTGTGCACAAACAACATAAATAAGAGAACTCTCTTAGAGAAATAGAGAAACATTAAGACTTTGGTAGTAAATACATTTCGTGTTTATTTACCATTTTTTTTATTTTATTGAGACGTTCCAAGTGCCTGTGATTTG